TTCCAGGTCAGCTGGGGTTACAGGGCAACCCTGTCTCAAAAAGACCAAAACCCAAAAATATCAACAAAAATGTCTTGTGAATGATTCTGTTTCCACAGGCAAACATTTGGAAATAGGTAGCTAAAACACTGTACTGTAGGCTAAAATGCAACTTCTTTACTTCATAAAACACAAAAATAAGTAACAAATCATCAAAAGCAAGTAAGATGCAGATGAGTAGGAGTAACGGGTTACAGGTCATGGAGTGAGGAGTCTTTCCTCCTTCTGATCACCAAGCTCCAAAAAAGGACTTTAGGGCTGCCTGAAAGGAACACAAGGAAAGGCCCCTAAAGATCAGATTGAAAACAAAAACACATCTTTATCTACCATGCAAGTTCAACCTCTCTGACTGCAGCTGAAGTATTCACAAGCAAAAAACGAAGCAGACACTAAGATTCCCACAAGGGTTACTTTACCCTGCACACTACCACAGATGCTTCTGCTGTGTAGAAATTTGGAATCACTTGCTGGTTCCTTGCATGTGTTCAGCTCCATCAGTCAAAGAAGAAGCAAGAAGCAGTAACAACGGCCGTGAAAAAGGAAAAACAGAGGCTAGATGGGGCTCAGTTGGTACAGTGTTTGCTTGCCTAGCATGCAGGAAATCCTTGGTTCCATCCCCAGTGCTATATAAGTTCGGCGTGGTGGTGCACACTTGTAATCACAGCATTGAGCAAATAGAGGCAGGAGGACCAGAAGTTCAGAGTCATCCTAGTTTAGTGCCAGAGACTGTATCCAAAATAAATAAGATGATAGATGATAGATATATAGATGATTGATAGATAGATGGATGGATGGATGGATAATAGATAGATAGAGATAATAGATGGATAGATAGAAAACAGAACCTGACAAATGAATGACTGACAGCTATCTCCAATTCCATTCAGATCACAGAGACCCATATGCTCAGCAATTGGTGGAGCGGAACCTCTCAGAGGGCACCTACCTAATAGTCAAATATTCATAAATGAAACCCTTATATTTAATCCTATCACAATCACACAAACATGCACAAAACAAAAGGAGACAGGAAAGTGGGCACAAAGACTAACATAATATTCATTCTTATATCAGATGATGTTCTTCAGGAAAAAAAAAAGATAATTTTAAAGGATTAAATTTTATTCTAATTCTGATAAGATGCCATAGAGGTAAGAATCCAATTCTGAAAGGAGGGTGAAGGCATTAGAAATACACCAGAGAGGACAGTGAGTCAGCCCAGCATACCAAACAGTACTTCCAATATGAGAGGAGAAAAGATTCAAGACAATAAAATCAGTTACCAGGGGCTGGACTGCAGCTCAGCAGCAAGGCGCTTGCCTGGCAAGCACAAGGCCCTGGGTTCCAGCTCCAGCTCTGCCATAAAACTGTATTTTCTAAAAAGATAAAAAATATTCCATAGTGGTTGAGGTGCAACCGATCATTAAACTTACTTTTGCCTAAAACAAAGAGAAAGGAGAGCAGACCTGGGTCCACACTGAACTTGTTTCATGTCATATGAACAAAGCCCAAAGATATTGAACAGTGTCAATCCCTACTTGGGACAGGTACAGGTGAAGTCTAGAGTTCTTGCTTCCTAACAGCCACATAGCCAGAAAGCTAAGGGTCAGAATGGGGTCTGCTTGCCAGAGGGGCAGATTTCCAGTGCTGATACAAATTTCACAAACTCAATGTACGTTTCTGTTACTAAACACGTCAACGAGTAAGAATGCTCCCTTTTCTTTCTCAGGAGAAAAACAAAACAACCAAAGTGGCTCTGCCTGTGGCCAGAAAGGCTTCCCCAAGAAAGCAGGGTATCCCCAGCAGAGCATGTCATCGGGGCTTCATTCTTCTCGGCTCTCCATGATGGCTATAGTCCACGGAACTTTGATGATAAAAACAGAAAATACGTAGGGTTCATGGAAAATAAAGCATGGCACCTACACATGGAGTCCACCAATCACTACATTCTGGAGCAAATCATTTAAAACTTGCCTTGTGACAGCAGCCATTTGTTATCAAAGCACAACAAAGTGATCTGTGATATACCAACAGGCGAGAAGACAGCTCTCCTAGAAGGTTATTTTGGGTTTAATTCTTGGTATTATTGTGAATATGACAGATTTCTGTTATGAAGTAAAATCTCTGGAGTTTCATAATAAAAGCTTAATTTAGTTTTATAACAATCTTAATGGTTTTAAGTTTCTTCATTAGGTAATGCTAGAGAAAAACACAATTATGTTTTGCTTCTGCACAAATTCTGCGAATCTTTGCAAACTGGGAAATAACAGTAATAAAACCCTTTCCCTTTAAACAGCACAATTTTAGGATTTAGAGACAAGGAGCTTGAACTTTTTCAATCAACATTTTGGCAGTCACAGAACTGAACCTCAGTTCCTACGAATGGTGGTGATCACTATAGGGTGCTGGCTATTCCTACTCTGGATTTCCACAGCGCTTCTCTGTTTTTGTTCTGTGACCCATGAGTCATCTCACTGGCCAGTCCATAGCTGTTATAATCAGATTTCTGAGTGAGCCATTTCCTAATTTTGTAATTAAGGAAGTAAGATCATTTCGTACTCTGGAAACTAACTTCTTTCCTTTATGTCATCTGAACAGTTCTAGAATTACATAAAATTAGATCCCCTGCCCTATTTAAATTTTCTTTTTTTTTAATTTAGAGAAGACTAGTAAGCACTTGGGGAGAAAAGGAAAGAAAGACTTTCCCATACATAAGGGGATCTGTGCAAAAAAGCAACTGTGGTTAACAGTGTACAAACAGCAGCCACAGCCTGCCTGCCCAGGGAACATACCAGCTTACAACATCAAGTTAAAAAATGTGCACCCACACAGGCACAGAGCATGGGTGAGACTTGAGGCATGCCCCAGGGTGCTGGGGTTCCTTTGAGGCCAGGAAAAGACAAAGCTGATAGAATTGTATCTTCATCAAACATTTAGGATAGTTTTTATTCTTTAGCAATTCTGCCAATTAGGTAAAGTTCTCCTTGATGGAAAGAATCCTAAAACACAGGTTTTCTGCAAAGGCCAGGGTAGTTACTCCCAGCACAGAGCGAAAGTAGCAGCCCAAGGTGCCTTAGACCTCTTCTTGCTGCCCCTGCTAATTGGGTTCAGGCCTGTTCAAGACAAGGCAGTGAAAATGGCAGACTCCCAATTAGCTTAAGGTTTCCTTCAGATCCCTCTACTTTCTGCCCCTAACTTCTTCCAATCATGAGGTTTATAAAGTTTGTATCCCTCTTATGTGGATTTTATTAGTGCAATAAAGTGTAAAGAAACAAGAACAAAGCCAGCTTGTGATCCATGATCTACTGGTATTAAACAATACCGGGTGCAGAATCGGGAAAATGATACGATTGAAAGGAATTCAATCTTCTGAAAATATTGTCTGACGTCAAAACCCAAAACTTACTTTTTTGGTTTCTGAATCTACAGTAAAAATTTCCAAGGCAGAAAAACTCAAATAACACAACAAACCATTTCACTTTCAAATCGTTTTGTGTTTTCTCTGAGAAGGTTCAAAACAAAGAAGTCAAAAGACTGACATCATAAGGATTCTCTCAGAAATATGCATGGTCCTTTACCTCCCGAGAGGAGTCTCAGGATTGTGCCACAGACCATGCTGAGCAAGGCAAGTTCATTACTGAAAAGACCCCAAATCTGAAGACCATGTCCAGCTTCACCCCAAGTGCTTCCTAATGCAAGTTCTAATGAGACTCATCAACTCCTTTATGATACCCTAGTAAAACCCACCAGCTCGCCATAGAAGGAAAGACTGTTCCCTATCTCATTAAGTAGATCAGTTCCCCACAAAGAACAAGACAGCCCTGGTTCCTGGAGAAGCCTGCAGACTCAGCATCAAAGCACTCCTTTGTCCTGTCCATCCCTTGTTTATTCCCATTGGCAAAGTTGCTGTGGTCATAACTGCCCTCACAAACACAGGTAATGAGCAATAAGCTCTCTAGTAGGAAACAGAGCAAAGACAGAACCACTAGAGGCATATAAAACCTAGAATTTACCTGACCTCCTCAGTGTAGATAGCATACTCTAAAGGAGGACAGCTATCAGTTCTACCCTGGTGAGCCCTAACTGTCAAGAACTAACTGGCAGAGAACTAATTTTTTTTTTTTAACCCTGCATTCCTATACCCACAGAGTGCAATCCTCCTCATTATAGTTTTAGTAGCAAACCTAAAGAGAAATGAAAGCTTTAGAAAGGATATCAGGCCATTGAACCCAGAGGACTTATGGAGAATATTTAACTGAACAAAGCACAAAGAATAATTGGATGCTGTTTTCAATGTATAAAACAGAATGTTCCTCTTCTTCTGCCAAAGAATAGTGCCGCCTTCTGGCAAAATATTGCAATCTGAGTTTTATCTTATTTTGCTTTTGAGGTTCTTGTTCCATGAATGGAATCTGGTATAACTAACTGTCCTGATAAGAAAGTATCAAGCCTTCTCCTTCCAGGTGTAGTCTCCTTCAAGCCAAATTGAGAGAAGCCTCAATCAAGGAAGACGATTCTAGATCAGAAATCAGACAGCGCAAGCTGTCAGGACAGACAGGACATCACTCTACATAACCTACTAGCAAGTATTTCAAATAACCTCTACAGAGGCACAAGGCTCGGTCTCTGGGAAAAAGAAACTGTGCAGCTTCTCCAATGGGTATCTCAGATCTATAATGGTAATGATAAGATCAAATCCGTATCTTTTTTTTTTCAACCAGTCTGGCCTTGAACTCACAAAGATCTACCTCTGCTTCTGCCTCCCAAGTGCTGGGATTACAGGCATGCACCACCATACCTGGCTCAAAACTGTATCTTTATAATTAAGTTTATCACCTTTTAGATAACCTAAGTTGTTGAAGTTTTTTTCCAAATATTGCAATAAAAAGTCACACTTAGCACATTTAGCCAAATGCTGACTGCCAGGCAATAATGCAGGATCAAGAACATGGGACATTTACCTGATCTTGCTTTTCCAGCCACCGGTCCACCATTGGGTGGGTGGCACTCAGAGAGGAGCGGGTGTTGTCTCTCTGGAACTGGTTGGACCAGCCACCAGGATCCCTTGGGAGGCTCCTGTAGTTTTCATCTTTCTATTTAAAAACAAACAAAAAGGCATCTTTGTAAAAACACAGATTTCACAAATTAATGGTGTACTTGAATTTTCTGAAGTCAAAGAAAAATTATTCTACATATTTGAAATGTTTTTCCAAGTCTATACAAAATACTGGATTAAGGACACTGAGGCCAGGTTCACCTCAGAGATGCAGATGAATGCCAGGAATAAGGAAGTTTAATGAAAAGCAGGAGAGAAAGCCACACTGGATATACAAAGTAGGCAAAACACCTGCCTATCTCACAGTCCAGCCCAAATCAGCTTCTCAGCCAAGTGTATTTTTGAGACATGTATTTCTAGAGACTAACATTTTCAACTAAGGCATTTTCCCTCTTATTCTTTTCCAATATCATGAGTACAAAATATCTTCAATAATTTATCAAAATCAGTGAATACAAGTAAGGATGATAAATTTTCTTTACATCCCTGAGGTTTTATTACTTTGGGAAAAAAGATTTAAAAGTCTCTGGGCTGTTCTGTTTTCTAATTCACAAGCTAACTGTCAAGATTAATTCAAATACCAAGGAAAATGCTGGCCTTTCACATGAAAGACAAATAATTATTTATTCTGGAATGGTGAGGACAAACCATGCCTTACACAAATATTTACTAATTCTCAGTTTCCCACAGGAGCACCAAAGAATACTGGATGCTTTTCTCAAATAATAAATTATAACAATAGGCTCTGACTTTTAAAAATGTTTTTATGATTTTATTTCATGTATATGTAAGTGTGTGTGTGTCTGGTCCCTTGGAGACTAGAAGAGGGTGTTGGGTCCCCTGGAATTGCTATTACAGATGGTCATGAGTTGCTATGTGGGTTTTGAGAACTAAACCTTGGTTCAGTTTTCAGCAAGAGCAATAAGTGATCTTAACCACTGAGCCATCTCTCTTGACCCAGGCTCTGGCTTTTGAGCTGTAAAATTGGATTACAATTTTCTGAGAAGAATGGGCAAATCTAACATGAAGTAGAGAAGTAATATTTTTTTGTTTAATAACTAAGCATAAAGTATTTCTAACATGGACAGATTTAAAATGTTATTCTCAGTTCAACTCAGATAGCATGACAAGTTAAGAAAAATACAATATTCTCCATAATAACCTTGTTAATGATGATATAATAACCCTAAGTATATTCAGCATGAGCTTTTTTTTTTTTCTTTCGTCTTTTTTGAGACAGGGTTTGCCTGTAGCCCCAACTATCCTGGAAGTCACTATGTAGACCAGGCCGGCCTTGAACTCATAGAGATCCACCTGCCTCTGCCTCCTGAGTGCTGGGATTAAAAGCGTGCACCCAGCACACCTGGCTGTTTTTTGGGTCTTTTTGAGATGAGTTTCCCTGTAGCCCCCTAGCTGGCTGGAAATCGCTATATAGACCAGGCTGGCTTTGAACTCCTAAGATCCGCCTGCCTCTGCCTCCCAAGTGCTGGGACTAAAGGTGTGAGCTACCACTCCCAGCCCACCATGAACATTTTTAAGATTTATTTTTATTTATGTATATGTATGTGTTTATATATGTGAATGCCATGTGTATGCAGGTGCCCTTGGAGGCCATAAAAGGACACTGGATCCCCTCAGTGAACTTTGGTCCTCTACAAGATTAACAACAAGCACTCTTAACCAATAAGTCATCCTTGTAGTCCCATTATTTTATTCTTACTCTTCATATTCTCTCTCTCTCTCTCTCTCTCTCTCTCTCTCTCTCTCTCTCTCTCTCTCTCTCACACACACACACACATGCATGTGGCCATGGGTTGGGGGTATGTGTGGAGGCCAGAGGTCAACTTTAGGTGTCATCCTCTATTTCTGTCCACCAAATTTTTGACACAGGATCTTCTCATTGAACCTAGGGCTCAGTTTCAGCTAGACTGGCCAGTGAGCCCCCTGGAAGCCCCCTGTCTCTCCTTCTCCCCAGGCACTGGGGTAATAATCATGGGTGCTGCTGTGCCCAGTTTTTTATTAATGTGGGTTTGGGGGATCCAAATATGGGTTTTTTTTACCCACTGAGCTGTCTCCCTAATCTTCATTCTTCATTTTTAAAACTATACAAAAACCCAATACTACAAAAATAAAACAATGCAATATGATAAAGGCTGGTACAGAGGAGACCTTAGCTGTGGATCAGGACATAGTATTCTATTCCCTCAGAATTCTACAAGAAAATTCAGCAAGCATAAAACAGTCTTGGATCTATCTTAACAGTATAACATTTGAAAATCACACCAAAACCTACATTTATCAGTACAAACTTCAACATGCAAAATCAGAAACCTTTTCATTAGAATTAACCCACAAAAAATAAAATCATCTTTTAAAATTTGGTGGTGTATTAGTCACTTTTCTGTTGCTGTGATAGAAACACTGACCAAAGCAATTTATAGGAGGAAGAGTTTATTGAGCTTACGGTTCCAGGGGAATTACAGTCCATCATGGCAGGGAGGAATGGTGGCTGAGGTGGCTGGAGCAGGAGGAACAGAAGCTAAGCTCTCACATCATCATGCAGGCACAGGACGTAAGAGAGCAACTGGAGATCTGGCAAGGCTTAAAAACTCTCTAAGCCCACCCCCACAGTGACATGCTTCCTCCAGGATGGCCACACTTTCTAAAACCTCCCAAAACAGCACCATCATCTGGGGACAAAATGTCCAAACACTAGGAGCCTATGGGGGACATTTTCATTCAAACCACCACAGGTGGCAAATATAAATATTAGCATTAAGGACTTTTTAACTAGAAAAAAAATCTACATATCTATGGTTACAGGAGCTTCAGAAAGTAGTAAGGAAATAAATACCATAAACACCATAAATACACCAACAGAAATTCAAGGAAGTCAGGAAGGGTGGGTATGTTAGGAACAAAAATCTTGACATCCACAAAGAGGCACAATGATTGCCATCAAGGTGAGGTATGATTTCCAAGTCAAAGGCCATGGAGATATTAATAACCAGTTCCTAAGAAAACAAACCACTGAACACAGAGGCTGAAAATCCCACCCTGTCTCTTAAACTAGAACTATATTTCAGAGAAATGAACAGTGACAGCCAATGATGGTGTGACTGATCCTTCAGAAAACTGCCAGGCCACAGAAGTGGAGTCAATACTAGAGCAAAACCATCAACATTGCAATGAATGCTGAGACAGTGAGGCAGAAGGAAGCCCAAACCAAACACCTCCCACATAGACTCATGCTCTTTCCAAAGGGCTCTGGATCCTTCTTTGCTCCGCTCCTTCTGCAATCAATCATCAGAGCCCCTAAGTCCTATAGACCTGAAGTCCTCTATAAGACTATGTACTCCTTGACTGCAATCCCTGCTCTCATCTGATACCACACAGCCCGACACTTGCTTCAGCCATATCCTCCCCAAGTTCTATACTACTCCCAGGCAGATCATTCTAGAATGTATGTTGGCTCACACCATGCCCGATGCCAGATGAACCTTCAGACAGTCGTGCTACCTGCATTGCACACTCTGCTCTACCTCTACTCTGGCCTTCCCAAATTTTGAATTGCATTTCTTCTGGGGAAAAAACTCACTATTCTTCAAAGCCAGTCAATTGCCACTCTCTCTCAGGAGCAGCTGCTGGTTCCCAGCACATCATTCTTTCTGTTATCATGATACCCTGATTTTATTTTCAATATAGTTCTAACTCAAAATTTAATTTTCAAAGTTGCTATTTTCACTGTTACACTGAAGCCCAGGCAAGATCACCATTCACATTTAACCCAGGCAGTCAACATAGCAGCCTGCACTAATGTGGAGGGCCTTAAGTATTTTCTATTTCCTATTTCACATGGTTTCAGAATCTGGAATATGAAAAGAACATTTTGCTAAGCTGCTTTGAAAGTTACTAAGAGAATAGCATAAAGTGGTTTCAAGACAAACCTCAGTGCAGTGTATTTCCACTGAAATGTAAAGACTGAATTTTTAGATTTCACTACAAGACGATTAGCATGGGCATATGCCTATTTCAGTTTACTGTCGCACCTATACAGTGCCAGTAGTAAATGTGATTATTTCTAATTGTATCTAAGAAATAGTGGGTTATTTCTCCATATAACTCAATTATGACATAATTCATACAACACAGTACCAATAGATAATCACATTAAGGGAGATTATAGAGAAAGATCTGAGGGGTTTTTTTTGTTTTTTTTAACTGTACCTGAAAACTTCTGTAATTTTGCAAGCAGACAGTGAACTCTTAGGAACTAATGTATAAGAAAAATAAAATAAAATTGACATTAATGCTTCAAAATAAGTTTTCCTAATCCATGGCAAAGTCACTAATAAATCCATGTGTAATGACCTGTAAATTACAGCAATCTAAACCATTACCAATTAAGTACAAAGGCTTAAAAAACAATTTTAAACCCTATGAAACATACCCCTTATTATGTTACTACCATCATGCAGGTTCTAGAACTTTAGATATGTTCTACACAATCTTGTCTAAATCTGAGGTGAAGTGGAAACAGGGAGCAAAGGAATGAAAACTGTGTTCTGTGTTTATGGAGAGAGTATATGGATACACATCAAATGAAGTGATTTCTCTATGTAACAAAGTGGTTAGTCACTACTGCCTATTGAAATGCATGTAGTATACTCTATTTTCATTTCAAAATGTCTTTTCAGGTAATAGTTTCAAACATAGCAATCCTAACTAGATTATATATATACTCACTTATAAATTATAACTACACATTAGTGAAAACTTTAAATCAAAATCATTTTCAAGCTTTTATTTCACAACTAAAATACAGGCAAACCAAACCATCAAATCCTACCCTTCATTTTTTTGCAGAAGTCTACAAAAAGTTTATAATAAAACAGATGTCTTTTTAAATCTGTTTCATTCCACGATTAATGCACAAATTCTGTAAACATCAGAACAATATTTTTCTTTTAAAATATTTTATTATTTTTAATGTGTTTGAGTATACTGCCTGGATATATGTAAGTGCACCTGTGTCCT